GCGTGCCGGCGGCGGGGCGCGGCAGCAGTGGCGGCAGGAGTCTGCCTGGGCCAGTAAGTCTGGCGACCTGGGCCAGAACCGGGCCGAGGGCCGTAGGTTGCCAGTCCCTGGGTTACGCATTAACACTTACTTCAAGGCACACTTGACGTAGTGTCCGTGTTTGTCCTTGCCACAGTTGCCGTACATATCTCCAGCCCTGTTGACATCCTGGAAACATGCATCTGGAGCTGGTGAGGCACCTATGAAGCAAAGGATAGCAAAAGAGAGCTGGAATCAAGAAGTATTTTGAAAAGAAATATAACCATCCATAGGGACACACTGCTTTTCTTCTGTTCTCCCTACAAGTTCCAGTTCCCAACAAGTTCTGTCATAATCTCATGAGACCAAGAGACAGAATTATGTCCCCGTAACCAAACACAGACTTCTGGCATGGATCATCAAGATATACTGTGGTCCTCCAGAAGATGATGTGTAAACGGTGGATGATATCATTCTGCATCTGGCTATGAGGAAATAGCCAGAGGTTTCTCTGATATCTCCTGCTCTCCACCAACCACTGGATGGCCATGGAGTAGAGGCTAGCTCAGGAAAACAGTCAGTTCTAGGGGGATTTTGGTCGTTGCAAAAGGAGGAAGAAAATACCATCCTCCGCAATGACCAAACAAAGGCATATGCAGATGTATTTTGGATTTGGGCTTGTGTATGTTACAAACAGAAAGCCAGTGTGGCATAGCGGTTTGAGTGTTGGACTCAGACTCTGGAGACCAGGAATCGATTCCCAGCTTGGCCATCAAACTCACTGAGGCAAGTCACATTCTCTCAGCCTCAGGGAAAGGCAATGACAAACCTCCTCTGAACAAATATTGCCAAGAAAACTCCATGATAGGTTCACTATAATAGAGTCACTATAATTTAGAAATGACTGGAAGGTGCACAACAGCAAACCTCTTTATCATCCTTGTTGCCTTTCTCTGAACCTGCTCTCACTTGTCTATACCTTTCTTTAAATGAGGCACCCAGAACTGAAGGCAGTACTCCACATGAGGCCTGAACAGGGCAAAATATTGTGGGACTATTGCTCCCCTTGACTTGGAAGCTAACAATGTTATTTTATTTTTTTATTTATGGGATTTATATCCCCCCCTTCCTCCCCAAATGAGATTCAAATGCTCACCCTTCTAGCTGAAACACCAGACAGTCAGGGTTGGCACAATGGCCTGATCAATTGCCCAAAGAGAGTGCTTCTGTTGGGAGTCCAGTGGCAAAGAATGGCTCTAATGACTATGGAGCAGTAAATCTGATCTGCAGTTTAGCCCTAACTTTAAAGTACGTATCCTAAGGCCTGACCCCTATCCCCCAAAGAGATTCCTTGGATAGCTCCCTTCAAGTACAGGCAATAGATTCACTACCCCCAGTGTTAGTGCCTTGGTTTCCATTTGCGTAAAAAGCTTTAAAGGTCCAACCAAGAGTCAAGGACATAGCAACCAAAATAGAATTAGAAATGCCAAGGACCAGCTGCTGAGTCAAAGGCATCCTTCTGCCCACTGCTAATTATTATTATTATTATTATTATTATTATTATTATTATTATTATTATTATTATTATTATTTATATCCTGCTGCTAGTGAATCTGTGGCAGGTTTCTCTCTGTTCTAATTGAAGGTATTGTTAGTATTACTGATATTGTAGCTGTTATTATTGTTGTTATTGTTGTTGTTGATATATTTATTTATATCCCACTTCCGCCTCCAAAGAACTGGGACTCAAAGTGGCTTACAATTTAAAAGCACAGTACAATTAAACACATACAAAAATGACCATTAACATAGAATTAAACTATTAAAAATATTAAAGCAGATCACTTCTTTTAAAAAACAGAATACCATTTAAAAAGATAAAAGCCCTTAAGGGCCATACACTTGAAAATAGTACAACACCCCCAGGACGTTCTTTAACAACTTTCTGTCTTAAAAACCTCCAATCTCATTAAAAGGGATTTCTGGTCTAACCCTGAGAAGGAGAACCTTTGGCTCTCTGCATGTTGCTGGATTGCAACTCCCAGCATCTCTCACCATTGATGAGGCTGATCAGGACTAATGGGAGTCACAATGCAGAAGCACCAAGAGGAGGAATCATGCATTTCTCCAGCCCTCCATCTCACTGAATAGGTTGAATTCATTGAACTGAAGATTCAGAAAAGACATGAGGTGAGAGAGAATTGCTCACCTGGGCCCCACAGCTGGACACACTGTTGGTGGTGGGTCATGCACATGCCGTTGTTGCAATATGCCTCCCCATAGGAGCAGGTCGAGCCATCCAGCAAATACACATTGGTAGGGCAATACGGGGACGCCCCGGTGCAGTATTCTGGGAGGTCACAGGATCCGGCTGGTTCTCGGCACATGGTCCCAGCTGTCTTTAACTACCAACGACCCCAGAAAGATACAAAAAAAGATACAGAGGTAATCCCCATGGGGTCTTGAAGGATGAAGAACAATAAGGAACGGTGTTCTAAAGCACCCAGGTCTGAACAGCCATTATTGCTGTTGTGTATGTCATGTTTGCATAACATTTTGTTCTTTATGCTTTGAAATGTTTTTGAGTCAAATTTTAAATTAATTTTTAAGTTGTATTTAATTTCTTTTAACTTTGGTATTTTATTTCCATTGCCATGTTCTATTTGCATCGTGTTAGTTGCATTTTGGTTTTTAACTGAGACTGCAATCTGCCTTTGGCCTCATATTAGGAGAAAGGCAGGAAATCAATCAGTCAATCAATCAATCAATCAATCAATCAATCAATATACAAGCAAAAGAGAATTGTGCAAATGAAATTTTCTCCAGAAAGTCATGAAATATTTTTTTAAAATACCATCAGTGCCAAGAAAACCCTGCGATAGGTTCACCTTAGGGTTGCCATAAGTTGGAAATGACTTGAAGGCACCCAACAACAGATTGCACGAAACCCCTAACAATATCACCATCACACAAAAAGCTTTGGAAAAAATGTGTATACATGTTTGAGAATGGAATAAGGAAAGATTTCTGTCTCAATTCCCTCCAAGACTGAGCTTGGAAAAGTTCCCTAGAGCACACTTTTTCTGACAAAAGTGAAGGTAGATCACAGCTGACCAGAGCTAGAATCCTCTTGGTGGTCCTAAATGGGATTTTCATTGGTGTTACCTCACCATTTGACATTTGACTTGATGGTTCTAAATGGTTCTAACTCTACTTGGGACTACCAATATGGGTCATGCACATCATTCTTATTCCACACCATGATGACAAAAGATACAGAAAACTTGGTAAGGGGAGAAGGAGAAAAGAGCATGAGATGATTTGGCTTGGTAACCTCTGGGTGGCCTTAAAACTTCAGCACATTTAGCCAACTCTTTACATATGAGGAAAACATGCTAATAACAATTGATAAGCAAAAGGGTGGCTCTCAAATTGGGCTTCTTTGCACAGCTCTCTCATTGTCACTAAGGAAACTGGGCCACAAAACTGAGCTTGGAGTACTACTTTCCAAAAGGAATTGCAGTCTACCCTCTGTATCTACAGATTCTTCATCCATGGATTCAACCGTTCATGGCTTGAAAATATTCCAGAAAAAAAATTCAAAAATCAAAACTTTGACTTTGTTATTTTATATAAGGGACAGCATTTTACTATGCCACTGTATATAACAGGACTTGAGCATCCATGGATTTTGGTATCCGGGGTGGTCTGGAACCAACCCCTTGCAGACTGTATTTACTCAACTCATCATTCTGATCACTCTGTTGGTATTTATATGTTACTGTTACTGCACTCCAGAAAGGTAGCCTACTGAGTTGCTTGTTACTAACAAGTGACCATTATTGTTGCTTTTGTGCCATTAGAAAAACACAGGAAAGTGCTCTCTCATTCCCCCAAGTGGCCAGTTCAGATATTGCACCTTGTAAATCATGAGAGAAAGGCAAAAGAAATGACAAGGCAAGCATTCTGGACTGCAGCAGGAGACAGTCACTCATGTGACATTCCTCCTTCTCACCCTGTGCTCAGCCAGTCAATAACACACCCACACACATTACTTTACACATTATTAATATGTTTGTATATTGTTTGTATATTATTGAAATGATGAATTAAGATATTTTAAAATAACACACACTCAGTAACAACTAACAGGTAAAAAAACCTTCTCTCATTCCACTGAAAATTGTGAATTAAAGCCATGGCTATTATAGTAAAAGGAGCTTATCACATACTTAAATAAATTACCTTACCTGATCTGGTTTAAAATTGAAATTGGGCGGCATCCTAATATTATCAGAAGGATTTAGCTGCCAAATCTGCTTCCCAGGTCCATCCCCGCTCACAAGGGTGCTTAGCGCAACTCTTGAGAAAATGGCCACTGGAACACCCCTGTGAGCGGGGATGGATCTGGGATGGACCCAGGCAGTGTGGATTTGGTGGCTAAATCCTTCTGCTAATATCAGGATGCCACCCAATTTAAATTTAAAACTGGATCAGGTAAGGCGATTTATTTAAGGATGTGATAAGCATGATAGATAACTTTGAAAAGTAGTTTGTTACCAAAGTAACTCATTGGAGAAATGAACTACTTCCTAGCTACACAGTAATATCAGCTGGAGAGAGGATCTGAGGTTACCTTGCAGCTCTTACAACAGTCCCCATGGGCACACTCAGCTCCAACTTTTAGGGTGCAATTGTGTGGGTTGCAGCAAGGATTTGTGCACTCCTGAAAAGTGAACAAACATGAGGAGGAGGAAGAATACATTCATTATACGTATTTTTATACTACCTTTCAATCATATGATGATTTACCGAAAAAAAATAATAAAATCGTTAAAATGCAATTTTAAAAACTAATCAACTGAAAGCCATTATAGCACCCTGAGAATGTTGGTATCTCAGCTTCGAAACTTCCCAGCACATTTGCACTTTAAAAATGCTGTCTCCTTCCATGTGCATTGAACTATACTATGAGTTAAAGTGTTTTTATTTGTCAGTCTGTTGTATCTGACGAAGCTGCATGCTTGATCGCAGCATCACGAAATTTAGTGTGTTACTTAAAAGTAAGATTTTGGACCCAGGTACCTGGATTTTGAACCCAGGTCCATCATCTACTTCAGATACCTCCTGAAGCAGTTGGAGATACCTTCTCAATAAATGATGATGATGATATCATCATCATCATCATCACCATCATCATCATATCCTACACCAGCTGCTTAGTTACAAATGTGTACCTACAAAACATCTCCAGATGTTGAATATTCTTGTACAAAATTTGGAACCTACTGACATTCTTCACCTTTTTATTTTTAAAAAATGCTCCATTTTGCATGGTGTGAAACAGATGTTGAGGACTGTCGCTTTGATCACCCAAGCTTTAAAATTATAAGTGTTTCATTTAAGCCATAAACCATCACTATCAATCCAGGCAGGGTCGGGCAAATTCACTATAAAATCACTGTCCTTTATTGGGCCTTGGTTTTGTCTGCTTCCACACACACACACACACCCGCCACTGTCATTTTAAGATAAGCATAAATGTTCATAAACACACAGACATATTTACAAAAATATGGCTAGACATGAATGGTTGCTAATAAATCCAATTTGCAGAATGGTTTGTTTGCTTTTCATGTATTTTCCAAACCATCTTTACATATAAAGATGCCTCCATGCTACTTGGGCTGGCATTTGCCCCCCTTTCCCTTCCTTTCTGCTTGTAAAGGTAATTTGTTACCTGTTTCTTTTTTGCAGGATGCTATTTCATCT